AATCTGGGTGGTCAAAAAATTTCAGGTTTTAAGTAAAATAATTTCGTCTTCTATGAAAAACTATTTCAACTTTTTTCTCCGAAATTGCAATTTCAGAGCCCCAAAATAATTTTGCATGCAAGTATATAATAGATCATATGATAGATTGTTATTTAATTAATATAAAAGAACAAAATCTTAGAAGTTTAGATAATTATTTAAATGTTTTTAAAATAATTACAAATATTCCTTCATTAAATAATTACTTTCAATATAATGTAATACCAGTTGTTACAGATTTTCCTGATCAACTATTTATTAGAAGAGTGGTAACTTTATTTCATAAATAAAAAAATCAACAAAATATTCCATCAATATAAATACTTGAGATAGTTAAAATTTTTATTCCAATTCTAGGACCTTTACATGTATCATTAAATATAAGAGAAGATATTATATTAATTTATTAATTTTTTTTTTTGAAAAAATATTTAAATCAATTTTTGGCTCAAAAAAAATATTAATAAAAAAATTCAAACTTTCTAGAATTAATGTATTTTTAGAACTTGTTAGTACAGGATAGAAAGAAATTGCAGAAGAAATATTTAAAAATTTAAATTACTTTGTAAAGATATAGAATTTTAAACTTTAATAGATCTTTTAGATAATTTAATACCTCTGCTTTAGATATTTATAGTATAATATTTTGCTTAGGTTCTTGTGATCAATATATAAATACAATTTTTAGATTATAGATATTTACTTTAAGATGGAAAAGAAAAAATTATGACAAAATTCTATTAGTATTTCTTTTAGATTATTTTTATTGAAAAGATAATAATTATTTATTTTTTAAAGCAATTTAATCTTACCTTGTTAACTTTAATGATTATTATATTGAAAATTGATATAATAGGATTAGAAGAAATACAAGTTCACACCATTCTTCTGAAACTATAATTTCTCAAGCATTTATATTGAAATCTAATAATCAAAAATTTTTTGGTTCATTTAGAAAATTCAAAAATTTTCTATATAAAGAATCTACAATAGATTTTTTAAAATATAAAACAAGTTTATTTTTAATTAATTATTTTTATCAAATTTATCAAAATATAGAAAAAAGTAAAAAAATTAAAAAAAAATAAATATTATTTTGTAACATTAGATAAAAATATAAAATTAAAATGCTTATTAGCTGAATACCATACCTCTAAACCACTATCTAACAATATTGGTTATAATTACTGTAATCAAAAATTCAAAAATAAGGAAGTTATAATATTAATATGTGGTCATACATATCATTACAAATGTTTTGGAGAGAAAAATAATAGGTATAATTATTGTTTAAAATTTTATAAAAAAGGAGTTGTCTCAAAAGTAAAATCTTATATAAATAAACTAGAAAAAGATAATATTGATAATAATAATTTATTAAATGAAGAAGATGAAAATAATATTGATGATAATGATGATGATAATGAAATAACAGAAAATGAAAAAGTAGTATTAGATTTTAAAAATGCTTTAGAATCAATAAAAACTTGGTAATTTATAAAATAATAAAAATAAACCGATATATTAATACTAAAAATCTTAAATTTTTACTTACAATTGCTTCTAATATAACCTACCTAAATCAAATTGATCAATTTGATCAGGTTTTACTAATATTAAGAGATGATAGAAAAGAATATATTAATGTAAAAAAAATCACGATTATCATATTCTCAGTTTTGTGTTCAATTATGAAATAATTTATTATTCTAAAATCAATTGAAATAAAATATTACACAATATAAAAAAGATTGACAATTGATTTTATCACAGGTGATAAAACAAATATCCACTATGCTAATATAGACACAATATAAATTGAGTCAGGAATTTAACCAATTGAGCTCAGGAATTAGTCCTAGTACAATCTGATATAATAGTTAAATTTTAGTGCAAAGGTTAAACAATAGTACAATTTTAATTATTGAATAATTATTATTAAATATAAATTCTAGAATAATTTAAAAGCTTTTATTATAAGCTTCAAAATAATAGTTAAATTATTTTTCTAATATCAATATTTTTAAAAATCTTAATATTTAAAAATATTTATTTTTATTTTTAATTTAAATCGATTTTATATAATTTAAAGTGATTTTTTACTAAAATATTTCTATAGTTGATTAAAAGCTTTAGTTCTTAACTACACAGTGATATATGTTATATTTTTGTAACACTAATATTTATTGAGTTTTTAATATTTTAAGATAATTTATTAAAAATATCAATATTGATAATTTAAATAATTATTCAATTATAGTACAGAAAGTCTAAAACTATTTAATTTTTTAAACTATAAAGATTTTGTATTTAAAAATAAAATTAAAAAAATAAATATATTATTTGATAATTCTAGTTTAGCTTTACAATTTAATGTATTTTTTTTTACTATAATTAATAATAATTTATTGAGTAGTTAATGTATAATCAAAGGTATTTGTAATATTAATAATAAAATTTTCTGATTATAGGCAATTTGGATTTGAATTTAAAGTATAAAATTAATTATAATTTAAATGAAATTCAAGTTTCAAAATTAATGAAAAGTCAAAATACTTTTAAAATTTTTTAAGTTCTTCTTTTTTTTTTTTTTTTTATTTATATAAAATTTTTAAGTTTTTTTTTTTCTTTTTTTTTTAATTTATTTAAATTTTTATATTTTTTTTTTCATATAAAATTCTTATATAAATATTTGTGATAAATAATATGATATATTAACTTCTAAATTTTAGTATTTCTATAATATTTGATAATTCTAGACTTTTTGTATCATATAATAATAATATTTTCATGTGATTAGAGTTGTGCTAGCCATTAGAATACATCAGAATTTAGTTATTTAATCTTGTCTTTAATCCAGAATTTAGCCATGAGAAAATTAATTAGCCAGAGATACAATTATTAAATCAGACTATACTTATATACAAAATTATTTTGAAATCCTGAAATTGCAATTTTAAGAAAAAAGTCAAAATAGTTTTTTATAGAAGATAAAATTATTTTACTTAAAACTCAAAATTTTTTGACTACCCAGATAAATTCCTTGATTAAAGATATACTTAACTAGATATTTTTTTTATTTCTATATATAGAATAGATTTTGAGTAAATCTCAAAAAGATAAAATATTCCAAAAATCAGAAATCAATTTTGAGAACATGTATAAGCCAGATCTAATATTAATTGAGCCAACTATCTTTATGATCTATAATATAGGAATTCTGATTTCTAGCTAATCTATAATATAGGAATTACTATTTGGTACAATGATTTTTTTGTGGTTCAAATCTTGTTTTGTTATATAAAAAGTTTAAAGATAATAATTTTATATTTGACATTTAAATTTAAATTTCAAATTATTATATAATGTCAAAATTTCAAATTTCAAATTATTTTATTATATAATTCAAATCTTGTTTTATTGTATAAAGAACTAGAAGATTCTTCATATTGTTCTATAAATAATATTATAAATATAATTAATAATAATAATATTATTATTATATAATTAAAATTTTTTTTTATAACTTAAATATAATTATTAATTTTAAAGTATGTGTAAAGAACCAGAAATCTCTAATACTTCTTGTTTTATTAATAAAATATACAAATTTTTGATGCAAATCAGCTTAACCTATTTGCATATCATTTACAAATCTTCCTGTTTATTTTGCATTAAAAATTATATTTTCATTTGACCAGAACAATCTCATGTAAAAATAATTTGTCTCAACTTCCTATAATTTAAAATATGGTTTTAGAGTTTTTATCCAATCAAAAATTATTATTTGATCAAGATTCTCAATTGTGATTGGCTTATTGTAAAGATAAAATGTAATTATTTATGAATTTAATTTTCAATACTTATTGTTACACTGAGTCTGCGGAATTGCAGATTTATAGGGTTGGTACGAATGTGCTATGGTAGATGGTTGTACGATGTCACGGGCAAAGAAAAAAGCGACAAGGACTCGAATTGTAAATGCGACTTATCTCAATGTGTTCACCTTACTATGATGATATAAACTACTTAAGGTAAAATCATCTATAGTGTTCAGAAGCATTTTTGTATTATTTTTTTTTTAATTAAAAAGATAGAATTTGATATATATGATGATGTATGATATGTGTGTGTGAACCCACAAATAATTTTCAGTCAATAATAATTAATCTCTTAAGTATACTTATTATTATTTATTATTATTATTATTTTTTTTTTTTTAATAATTATTTTTTTTTAATAATTATTATTTTATTTATTTATTTATTATTATTATTTTTTTTTTAAATGTAAAGTAATTATTATTTTTTTTTTTCGGTGATTTTTAAAAATTTTAAATATTCTTTTAAAAATATTTTTAAATATTTAAATAATAATATTAAATAAGAGAATTATTTATCAATTACAATATTCCAATCCCACCAAATATTCACTTCCCCAAGGCATACCCCACCCTTTTACACCAATTCTTTTCCAACAAATTCGAGGAATTCCAATATCAGTTAAAAACAATTCACCAGTAACTGCACGAGATTTACATCCACTTTTAGGAGCTCCCAAACATAAAGTCCATTTTGGATGAATATGATGAGCTGGATTACCGGGATTACCTATAATAAACATACGATGATATTAGATATATTATATATATATATTAAGTGACATAATAAAATATAATAAAATATAATAAAATTATAATAATAAAATATAATAAAATATAAATAAAAATAAAATAAGTTATAATAAGTTACCAGTATTTCCATTAATACCACTTGGCATATCTAAACTTAAAACGGGAGCCTTATTAACATTCGCCCATTCCATTAAATCACAAATTAATTTTTTTTCACTTTCATCAGCTACATCTCGAAGTGATAATTGATAACCCAATAAAGCATCAACGATAAGATCTACAGGATTGGTGAATTGCTGTGGAAGTTCTAATAATATAATATATTAAATAAGGTAATTATCGATATTAAATAAGATATTAAATGAATTATTATTATTATATTAAAATATTATTACCTGATACAGATTTTACAGATTTTCCACCAGTTGGATGTAAAATCTTTTGTTGATATGAGACACTCTAAATATAATCATTAAACAGATTAATACAATTTAATCAAATTGAAGAAGAGAAATAACAACAACAACAACAACAACAATAATAATAATAATAATAACCTGAAGTAAATCTCTATCTTCACCAACAACGCAAACGATAACATGACAACCATGATTTGCTAAATGTCGAGCAGTAGCTAAACCATATGAACCAGTTTTATTATTTCCGGAGAGTATCACTACTAATGGTGCCGCATTATGATTATTTGGTTGTATGCGTCTTGATCCTCCTTTTTATTTTCGAGCGAGAGTTTGAGTTGAGTGAGTAAGTTAATGTAAGTATAATTGTAATCGTGAGTGATACAGTGATACATACCAAGTGCTTGAAGACACATCATGGATGCACCTCTTCCAGCATTTTCAATCATCTGATCTTCATTTGGACCGGTTTCTCTTGCTATATATTAATTATTATTAATTATTATTAATGAGATTATTACAATATGCAAATCATTTTAATATGAATAACGTGAATAACATGAATTAATGTGAATAATATGAATCATGTGAATAATATGAATAATGTGAATAATATGAATCATGTGAATAATATGAATAATATGAATAATATGAATAATATGAATAAGAAATAAAAATCATACCAGCAATTCTTTCAACTTCCAACATTTGAATAGGTTGAACTATGGGACAAGCAACTCCTGTTAATGTTCTTATTTTAACTTTTTTATTATTATGATCACCACCAATTCCATTCGTTATTTTCGTCTTCTTTTTCCATGATGAACCTTCATCCGAATCTACTTCTGCATCATTGGCTGTTTCATCATCTTCATTTTCTTCATTATTATTATTATTATTATTATTATTATTAGTGTTATTATTATTATTATTATTTTTGTTGTTGTTGTTGTTGTTGTTGTTGTTGTTGTTGTTGTTGTTGTTGTTGTTGTTGTTGTTGTTGTTGTTGTTGTT